GTTCAATTTTATACAATTTAAAGTGTCTACTTGTGCATACCCAAAGTTGGAGGACATAAATGTGAAATGAGGTCAAGTTAAAGGCCATATTATTCAAATTGCATAGGGTTTGAAGTTTCAATTTCATTGATGGATAACGTTACCATTTTAGTGCAACACAATGGAACTTGAGATTCAAACAACCACTATGACCAAAGAACAAAAAAAAGGGTTAACCGAGAGTCCTTGCCCGACTAAAAGAAAGGGTTTGCTGGTAGAATGGGGTAGGCCGACAATTTTTCTGGATAGATCGAACTATTGGAAGGGGTTAACCGAGAGTCCTTGCCCGACTAAAAGAAAGGGTTTGCTGGTAGAATGGGGTAGGCCGACAATTTTTCTGGATAGATCGAACTATTGGAAGAAAATAAAAAGAAAGACCGAGTGTTATCACATTGATGCAATTCTAGTCAATTCCATTTCCAATTCATAGATCTAGTCACAAATTTACCCTTTTATCCTTGGCAGAATGTAATGGATGGTTCTAGATATATGAAGAAAATGTATTTATTAGTGTAAATTTACTTCTTTACCCTTGGTCTTTCTTTGTCTTCACATTTCTATATAGTAGAAAAGAAAATACAAGAGGTCATTTCTGGATAATTCAACATCTAAAATCATCCAAACAATGATCTACCTGGCCTCAACTATTAGCGAGTTTTAATTATTATTTTTCTTGATCGGATTTTGGTAACGATAGATTCTTTGCTTAGTTGGCGAAAGTTTTATTTCCAATATAAATATGTGAATTTTGTTGGTATGTGGTCCCCACTAAATTATAGGTCAACTCTTTTTCCCCTTTTTAAAATAGGAATAATGCATAAACAATTTCTTAGTACACGTTAGAACTTACTATATATGCGTAGAGTAATTATTTAATTCTACACCATAACTCCACGTTATTGCCACTATACCAAAAAGTCAATCCTCCCAATTTGAAACCATCCATTTACTCCAACCTACCCAATAACTTGAAGCTTGAGGCAATCCTCCCAATTCGAAAAGTCTTTTTCTGAACATATGACATGTATTTATTGGTTTATTGTAAATAACAAATACTCTTTATGTCTCTAATTACTTGTCCATTTTTCCTTTTTTAGTTGTCCCTAATTACTTATCCATTTTGACAAATTATTTTTATCTATTATACTCTCAATTAATTACTATGAAAAAGATAGAACTTCTTGAAAATCTTAAATTTTTAATTCACCTACTTCATAATTAATAGGGGTAAAATCGTAAATTCACTATGTCAATTATTGTTTTCTTAATAGGTGTGTACTTTTTAAAATTTTGTTGAATCTTTACTTAATATTTCTATTGAGTTAAATATTAGACATTGGTAGCTTTTGCTTATTATCAAGGTATGTGGTCCCCACCAAACTATAGGTCAACTCATTTTCTCCTTTTTAAAATAGGAATAATACATAAACAATTCTTAATACACTTTAGAACTTAATATAAGCTTAGAATAATTATTTAATTCTACACCATAACTCCACGTTATTGCCTCTATACAAAAAAAAAAAGTCACTCCTCCCAATTTGAAAAGTCTTCGCGTGAACATATGTCATGTATTTATTAGTTTATTGTAAATAACAAATACAAATAAGTTTTCACCTTATCTGAATTTGCTTGGGATGTTTTAGCTCTCACTATCAAGAGAAACTTTATCACAACGATTCAAGCTCGAAACCTCTAATTAAATACGACAAAATTATATATATAAAGAAAATTATATATAACAAAACAACTACAAGGGAGAACTTTTAATCATTTCACTGTACCTCTTAATGTTATCAAATTCCCAACTTGACATGTTTTCAAGTATAAAAAATATTATGAAGACAAAGTCTGGTTGTTGAGGGGAAAAGTCATACTCATGGAAAAGACAGCTTAAATTCTTTTCTTTTTTTTCCTATAGCTGTCACTGTAGAAAACTATTGTTGTACCATTCTTGTTTGCAAATCACTCTTAGCATTCAACAGGTAAAGTAAAGTTGTTAGTAATTGAACATACAAACATTTATCTTCTCTAAACTATTGTTCTCACTTTACTTGTTTTGCTTTGCAGATTTCAGAAATGAAGATTGGCTTAGCAGTTGGTGGTGCATTTCTCTCTTCAGCGCTGAATGTTCTCTTTGATAGGCTTGCTCCTCAGAGTGATCTGCTCAACATGTTTCAGAAGCATAAGGATCATGTTCAGCTTGTTGACACCCAATTTTGACCCTCCCCGATGTAATT